TGGGGTAGAGTTACATTGAAGTTTTGGTAACTACATGAGCCGCCTACTTAGCGAAAGCCTCTCCACATGACTCAAGTACCAGGTTCTCAAGGGTACTGCCTTCACAACCAGAATGCTCTAGAGCCGACTGTCGTAAATGAAAATCCTAATAGAATCTGTCTTCACTCTTAAAAATTTGTAGTCATTGAATAAATCGTTTTTAGATCACACAAAAGATGACAATGGATTTAGCAGCTGATGAGCGATCATTTTTGAACTGTCTGCTTGAGCTAAATGCGTACGATCGACAGTTGTGGGAGAACATGCAACGGGTAACCTCCATTTCCTGTTCGCTTTACTTTTGGTACATCCCTTCTTGCAGATCACTGATGTCGAGTCAAAATTAGTCACCCTAGAGCAGAAACAGGATAAAATGATGTATGACATTAGCTCCATAAATGAAGAGCAGAAAGGTTATTGTTGTTTCATGCAATTAGGTCTGTAATTGTAATTAGGTCTAAATCAAACTCTATCTCAGCACTCGATGCCGTCGTCACTGCGTTAGAGAAAGATCTCGGCCTTCCAGATTGGACAGATCAAAATCATAGTCTTCCCGTTGATGCTTTAGCCGCAACCCCTGGAGATGTAAAGCGACAGCAGCTGTGAGTTTATCTAAAGATATTGTGGTAATATGTTTACAATTATTTTATTCAGTCTGCATCTTCTAATTAGCGTGGATTCTCAAATCAAAGAAGCAGACAGTGATCTTCAGGAAATAATTGACCAGGTAGAATGAGATTGTTGCGCTCCTTCTAAAAATCTTATTTTGTGTATTCGAGGTATCTTCCCTCCATAAAACTAAGTCAGCGATGTCTAACTCCAAGAAATATACTGAAGATCAAGTAGCGCAAATTTTGAAAAATCAGATGGAAACGCTCATCTACATCGATAAGAAGACAGGTATGATTTCCATCCAAGATGCTTTGTGGACACTTGGTGTTTTCAGGAGAACTAGATGCCAAAGTTGATGAGTTCAAAGATGTTATGGATGGGCGACACACGACACTTTCTCCTCCATGATCTCTACTATTCAAATAATGTTGTTTTCACCGGTACCCTTGTTAAGTTCTATAAAATCACACATTGTTGATGAATGAGGAAGTAAAGGTTTTCTTACCATTTGTTGAGAAGTTTAGCCTGTTTTATGCAGCGTTGACGTACTTTTTTGCTTGTTTTTTGGTACTCGACACATTGGACGCTGAGAGGTAGGCCGTAGGCCCATATGCTCTAGGTCTTCTGATTTACAAGTGGCTTTTCTGTTGTCAATCGCCTTGCTTAGAAGTCGCTTGGATCTCCGAATTTGTTAGAAGATTTATACTTTTTTTGCGAGGAAAATAACAGA